AGTTGTGCTGCGTCGCAATGGCATTCTTCCATGTACAATGAGTCATTACCCATTGCACACCCCACCAGAGTTGCGACAACACACAATACTGCACTTGTTTACCAGATTCAAACGTGCTGACTGTCCGTCGTCGCAGCACATCACTCTGCCTCCCGCTTCATCTCTTATCCGTCAATCCCCTGAAACCTCGCGCGCAATAACTCAACTTGCAAATGAGGCCAGGGCCTTAAGCCAAACGCCTCTTTAGCGCTTGTCTACAGAGAGAGAGTAGAAATCAGAATGTATGGGGATGACACTGACAAGTGTAAAAATTTACGTCAATTCCATATGATTTGGTTTTCTATTCTACACTACCTACTTCCGCGCGGTTTCACACGCTCTGCTCAGCTCCTATTGGTCGTAGCGTTGTCGTATGTTTTATAGCCTATAGCCATCCTCGATAATTGCGCTATCCAACACAAAAAGAATTATTCAAATCAGACTTGTAGTTACGGAGATTAGCGCGTTCAAACAAACAAACAAAAAAACAAACTCTTCCGCTTTATATAATAGTATAAGATAAGATGTAGACATGCGCTAAATGGAATTTGGCTATAGCTGCAGTTATGAAAAATTTATAGAAATCGACATGTACTACGGTGCAACGGAGAAGTATGGCCGAGGTCTTGGATGATTGGCAGTCCACAACAATGTCTTTAGATATCACTAGGAGTACAGTACTACCACGTTCTCGATTGCTGTCGTAGGCGTCCCAGGGCAAACCTATACAAAACAAAATCAATAATAAAACCTTTTGGTTTCTAGCTTTTTTATTATGGGGGCCGTCAGTCACATTGGATGCGGATGGACTACGTTTAAATATGCGCATGAGAAAAAGGTAGGTCCCAAAGACTGTTTCAATATCTGTTGATGATTGCTAATTAGCTGAAATCGTATATATAGTTTACTTTTGAGCAGGCGTGCTTTTTTATAGATAAGTCGGTAAACGAGCAGACGGATCACCTGATGGTAAGTTGGTAAGCAATCGGCGGCGACCATGGACACCCGGAATACTAGAAGCGTTCTAGAGGCGTTACAAGTGTGTTACCGGCATTTTGCGGATTAAGATTTTGAGGATTGTTGTAGATTCTTATAATAGAGATTGGGGAGGGGGGGGGGGGGTGTTTGAGCCTCCGTTAACCTCACTTACACGACGAAACAAAGCAAGCGTTGTTCCACGTCGGTTTTCTGCTCGGCCGTGGTATCACTCCGGTCGAGTTGGCCCATTCGTGCCGAAGCATGGCTCTCTCACACTTAAATACTGTTATAAATGTCAAACAGTACACATTTTTATTGGTAATAGGTAGACGTTTGTCCACCCATCTCGACTGGTGGTGAGCGATGATGTGGCCTAAGATGGAGAACGCCTGCCTATAAGAAATCTATTCACTCAAAACTTCAGGAAACACAGACTCTGGCAAAGCGTTCCACTCCTTCGCCGTTCGCAGAAGAAAACTGGAAGTGAACAAAAAAAGCAGTTGATTTATAGTCTTGTAGAGTTGGCTGAGATCCCTAACCCGGTTTCCAAACAAAACCCATCTTTGCAGACGATTCCTATTATAAAACGTGACTGTTTTACAGGCTGTCGAAAATGACATTCGTTAACTGAAATTGTGCTAAGTTACACTATTCTAGAGAACATTAACTAAAAACAATTAAAAAAAACAAACAAGTAACAAACTGAAAACATTTACTTTTACCCTCACAATTCTTTTATAAACTGGTGTCAAGAGATTTATGTCCGCGCTAAAAATATTATTATGATATTGGTTCTGTGAACTAAGGTAGATTTATAATAGCTATATCATTAAAACTAACTATTACTAAATTAAATATATACAACTTAAGGTTAAAATTATCTAAAACAAAAACAAAAACAACTATTTACATAAAACATCGAAAAATTCGTCCGCATCGACGTCAGTGGGGAAGTACCCAGACGGCTGGCAGCATTAATTAATTAATTCCAATAAACACCAATGCTAAAATAATCAGAACCATATACAATGATAGCGAAATGACATAAAAAATACCAAAAGTGTTGATCCCAGAGACCCGAGAGAAGTGTCCTCGACGAAGGTCCGGAACAGAAAGAACGGCGGCCTCCAGTGCGCTCGCCTTTAACAGCGTTCCTGGGCAACGTCAAGGATTATGTCCTTTACTATAATTATATATTTTTTTATTATTTCCAGGACTCTGTAGTATGCAGATATATAAATATAATAGCACCTTACATGTATGCATCCCCTATTTACAACAAAACAGCGCCGATAGCTGGACGTCATTTCTCCAGGAAATGTGGATGTCCACTGTTTACCCGGGAAACAGAGAACTGTCTCTGTGAACATGTCCCGCCAGAGTCCGGTTAGTATTGGACTCAGGAGGTATTTCCTCGTCGATACCTTATTTGTCTACAGGTTCAGACTCATGATATGCCTATTATACTTTGTTGGTCCACAGTTGTGTCTACAAAGTCTACTACACCAGCTTATGACCCGCCTGTCTATAAGAACAAACGCCTGAGAGGTATATACTATTATTTTTATAATTTCGACGTTTTAACCCTAAGAAAAGAGAGATTTTGCCTCCTAGACCGTGTTCTACCGCTTGTATAATTGGTTGTGTTTCACGAAATTGTTTGATATAATGCTCACGACATACGACAAGACATTCCATACAAGTGCATTGCTGGATTTTTGGGGACTTGGGGATGAGGGGAGATTACGCCTCGAAAACCAACGCAATTATTATTTCTGTTTTCTGCGAGTCCGGGGTATCACTCCGGTGGAGTTAGCCCATTTATGGCGAGTTCTTTTAAGTAGAGACAATGATCGGTAGGAGCCGAGCAGCGAATGAAACCGCGCACATCGAAGAACTAAATAATTCGGTAACTACAATTACATTTTCTGTATCACTTTGTATATTATATTCCAGGACCTACGGAGGTCACGCAGTCAGTCATAACGACTCAATCCCTCGAGCATACAGCTGTTCCCAAACCAAGCAGTAGGCAACGAGTGATAATACTGCTGCCCGTCATCGCAGTTAAGAGGAGAACCACCACTGCCCTCGCGCAAGCTGTCAGCCGCGAGTGAGTTCACGTCATCGTCATCCTATCAGCTCAGGTTCACTGCTGACTGACACATTGATAGCAATTTAGAATTATTTCTTTTTCTTAACAACAACAGACAATGACAGGCTACTGATGGACTTTAACTTTTACTCCACGCTCGGCAGAGGTTTAGAGACCGCAGTTTCAGCTTCAAGTTTGGTAGTTCGCCGTCCGACTAGAACCAGACCCGAGCATACGGCGCGTCGCATTCCTCGCGCGCTTTTAAGAGTCATCAGACCACCATGGATAGGACCCAATAGGGCTGATGCCTCCCTCTCGCTTCACCCGGCGGGAAAAAATCTTCAAGTTTGTCACAGAGCGCTGCTGCCGTTTCTGACAAATGAAATCCTTTAGTCGACTCTCATATCACCCATGGGACGAGCAGGGGTGATAGCAAATGTCTTCTACCCTGCTGTCTCCATATGGTTTTATCGAAGTTTTATTATGGAGTTCATAATTATATTTTACAGGTTGTCAGTATCCACATCTTCAGTAAAAGTTATTCCTACGCAGGTATTTATGTGTCATGTTTGTACTTTGTATAATACTATAAAGTCTTTTTTGGTCTACTTGACGCGGGAGAACCATACTTCGGCACGAATAGAGTGCTCGACCGGAGTGACACCACAGCCTTACTACAAATCAACGTGAAGCAACGCTTGCGTGTTATCGTCGTGAAAGTGATACCCAAAACTTTTTGCCAAGGCCAGCTTTACACTGATTGCTTACGATTAGGTGATCCGTCTCCTTGCTTGGACTCCTGACCCATAAACATACTGCTGAGTCCTCAAGCGGTCACCGGTAACCGCTCTCCGCTAACTTCATTATAGAACTTATTTCGGATGGTTAGAGACTACTTTTGTATGAACAAATATTGTGGAGTTTTCGTAACCCAAGATTAAGAAGTTAATACTGAAGTTTCTGTAGTCAAACCTGATTAGTATGACTATTTGTTTCAGCCAACGATTGCCAGGAGACAAGAAACACAAAGCGAAGAAGATGAACATGTTAAAAATCCTGAATTATTTTTGCAAAACTATTACTCTAATATAGCGAACCCCACGCGGGAAACCGACACTCATAGAAGATACAACAATATCGAATCGACCATTCCATGGACTGATGTGATTTGATTGTCACTAGGCTTTTGGATCTAATTTTGAGGCTAGCGCCATCTAATTTTTGATTCCGACATCAAGCACGGAGTCCTCTTCCTTGAAACGACGGCAGAGTTAAGCCTGTTATAATGCAGAGTGGACTGCCACTGGCCATAGACTATTGATGAAACGAAGTGTTTTAATAAATTCTGAACAAACTTCTACCTTGAATTTGTACTGTGGTATTACTAGTGCGATATCAACGAATATTTTAGTCTACCTATATGTTAAAGAATTAAGAGATGTAGATATTTTTCTAACTGCAATGAATATTTTCTGCCTCTAAGAGAGACTGCCTCATTGGCCGAGTGGTCGCAAGTGCGACTGCCGAGCAAGGGGTCTCGGGTTCGATTCCCGGGTCGGGCAAAGTATTATTTAGTTTTATAAAATCTCAATAGTAGCACGGAGTCTGGAAATGTGCCCGGTATATGGCAATAGGCTCAGCCTCTATTACATGGGACTCATAACATAAATAGTGAAAAGTGGGTGTTACATTGTACATTGGCATTAAGTGCCGTAATGTGCACCTCTACCTACCCCTTCGGGGATAAAAGGCGTGATATTATGTTATGTTATTTTATTCTTCTTGTTTTAATTTGTTACGGTGCAATAAACAATTTTTCTTTCTTTCTTCCTATGTAAGGCAGGCCTAAGTTTCTAATAAATAAAACGACATTTTCTTATATTTACATTTATTATTATTATTTATTATACAATAGTATATATTCTTAGCCTAGAAATCAACTTTTAACCCTCTGGCACTTTCTGTTTATATTTTATATAGCTAAGAAATTATGTACCGCGTCTGCGACGGAGATGCAGCCGCGGTCCATAATGGGCCCATGGGGGGCTGAGAGGATCATGATCATCTCCGCCTCACAAGGGGCGTCAGAGCCTCGTCCGTGTGTCAGCAGGGTGCACCGCGGGCAGGTGAGGTTGACTTTGGCTCACAAGGCGGTGGTGAAGCCACTTGCACCCCAGGGAAATGACGTCACACTGCATCATTCATGTTCAGACTATGTTGAGGCCGTCCACCAGTAACCCTGAAGCAGTAAATTGATAGGTTATATACAACAGCTCATATAGTGGACCGGTTAGGCTAGTATCGTCATGAGCAGCTCTTTAACTCGTCGAGTACCGGTTTTGTAGACACAATTATAGAACAATAGGTTGCGGTCACCGGTTACCGCTTGGTGTTTGACAGTTTAAGTGCAAAAATTGTTTAGTTGAGGATATGGGAAAAATATGAGACTTCATCCTCATGATAGAAGCTGTATATCAAAGGTCTTTAAATAAAAGTCTCCGACACTGACCGTGGCAGAAGGGCTTGAGTTCTGGTGAGCTGTAGGTGTTGGTGCGCTGACGACTCGAGACAACTTGAGCTGATGACTGCTGGCTGCTCGTCCATCAGGAACCTGGTGAAATTTAGCATTTGTTAACAAAATTGGAATTAAAATAAATGACCTGATGAAGAGAACTGCTGCTAAACCGGACACTATCGAAGTCCTTGGGACTATGTTGAGTAGACAGTAGTAGGATGTCTTGGGGCTTGCTCGTATAATGATGATGATGAGTAACAGACCTTCAAACACAGATCCTTGGTAAAATAACCGACAAACCGGTTCTTTTTCTGAACACCCAACGAAAAAACAGCTATCCCTTCAGATAGTCTTACAAGGAAACTACCAACTTTTAATGCCAATTATTATAGGGTCAGGAATAGAAACTATTATGACTCACCTGCAGTACCAGGATAATGAGGAAATAGAGCTTCAGCAGCTTCATACCACTTCGAAGAATCAGCACGTCTTTCCCGGTGGATGGCGCGCGGCGCAATGAGTGCACAAGAGAAGTCTAGTCTAGTAGTCTAGCTGCACTGCGCAGGTCACAATCAATACTTTGGTACGAGCTATACAACGCAGTTGGTATTTATGCCACTGAATAAAATATCAATCAGAAGGTTTACTGTTATACTTGAATGGTAGATAAATGGCCGGTTCCACCAACATTTAAAATATTTCTTAAGCTGATTAAAAATCGAGGGTTACTCACGGGAAAATATTGAGAAACGTACTACTAGTTGAGAAGGCTGCGCGACATCGCCACGACGGCGCACGCTGCTTAAGAGGAAGAGCCCCTCTGTGGCTTGAAACTAGTCGAGCTTTTCTCAGTATATTCACGTGAGTAACCCGCGAGTTTTAGAAAGAAAGAAAGAAAGAAAGAAAAATAATTTATTCGCCACCGACATGGACCACCGAATAACACACAAAATAATAAAAAAAATAACATTGAAAAACAAAAATAAAGAAATAAAATAAAATAAAAAACGATAAGAACAAAACAATAATAACATCCAAAAAACAGCAGTAAAAAATAAAACAACAATGGAGGCAAAAAACATAAAAAAGCAAATAAAAAAAAAAAAAACAGGGTGGCAGCATGTCCGCGACGAAAGGGCTCGCCAACTCAGTTTAGTTAATTTAGTATGTCTCACGATAGTTATTATAAAACATTTTTTAAGCTCTAAGAGTGTGGGGGAGCATTCGCGGCTTCGTATCGGAATCAGCCATACTGGGCCCCATCTGTGGTGGTCTGATGGCTTTTTGAGGTGCGAGCGAAACGCGATGCACCGTACGTTCAGGTCTGGTTCTGGTCGGGCGGTGAGCTACCAGTACTTGCCGTCTGCTGTCCCAAACTAACCCCTTACCTTTACGTTTAGGTGTCACTTAGTCGTAAAGGTATGAAAAAAAGACGATGACGGTACAATTGACGAGGTAGCTGGACAACTGGCTGCCGCGCAACGTGACTTGGGTTCGATTCCCGCACGAAACTACACTTTGTGTGATCCACAGATTGTTGTTTCGGGTCTGTGTGTCATGTGTATGTGAACTTGTATGTTTGTAAACGTACACACGACACAGGAGACAATCCTAGTGTGGGGTAAAAGTTTTATTAAAAAAACAAAACTTAGAGATATTTCGAGACGAGAGTCTTCTACCTCGTACAGCAAAACTATTGAATGTTGGTTCAGATATCTTCAAGAAAAGACAGTATATTTTTTTTTTTTATAGAATAGGAGGCAAACGAGCAGACGGATCACCTGATGGTAAGCGATCAGCGCCGCCCATGGACACCCGCAACACCAGAAGAGTCACAGGTGCGTTGCCGGCCTTTTAAAAAGGAGTACGCTCTTCTCTTGAAGGTTTGAAGGTCGTATCGGTTCGGAAATACCGCCGACGACAGATCATTCCACAGTTTTGCTGTGCGAGGCAGGCTATTGATTCTCAAATTCATTTTCATTTTTTGACTTCTTTGGTGTCATGACTGTCCAAGGCCAGGACTGATCACTTGCAGGTAGTGTCCGACCGAAGGTGCAATTCTGGCCGAAGCCGAAGCCAAAGCCGATTAATAGGTATTCAGTCATGTCACCAGCACCATAAGGTCCTCTATCTGGTGTCATCACTGCGAGGACCGCCCTGAGGACACGGTGGAGCGCACGGTGGGGGGGTGCCCTGCGTGGGCTGGGCGCCGCCGTGTCCTCGGGGAGGTGATCGGCGGTGGCGACCTCTCGCGTCCGGGCCTAGTGCAGGCCATGATGCGGAGCGAGGGGGATTGGGATGCCGTCTCATCCTTTTGCGAAGCAGTCATGCTAGCTAAGGAGGAGGCGGGGCGCTTGTGGCAGCGAAGCGCTGCCTCCTCGCAACCCAGCCATCGCGAAGGACACACCGGGCGTCGGGGATCGCGAGACGATCTCCGGCCACCGTAAGCGCGGGCCTGCGGACGGCGAGCATGGGTGGCTCCCCGTCCGACCAGAAACAGACCCGAGCGTACGGCGTGTCGCGTTCCGCGCGCGCCTCAAAGAGCCATCAGACCACCACAGATGGGGCCCAATAGGGCCGATGCCGATTCGGAGTCGCGGAGAACCTAACGGGTAACCGGGGCTCCGGCTCGACGTGCAGGAGAAGGAACGGGGTGGTTTTTAGTCAGTAAGAGTCTGACACTCCCTTCCGCCTCAACCAGGCGGGAGCAGTCATTCGATGATTTTCCCCCCTTAAAAAAAAAAAGGTCCTCTATCTGCTTGTTTGTTGAAACAGCACAGTTTCTGTCGACTGCAGTCACAGATTGTGTCGACTGCAGTCACAGATTGTGTGATTTATTTGTGTCTGTGGTCCCGCTGTGTGCAGTATATTCCCGCGCACTGAGCGACATGGACCTTCTGCAGGCGTCGCATTGAGTCGTGCACAAGTCTAGTTCTAGAATGTTCTGTCTGCACTGCGCAGGTCCTGTGACGCGATCAATATTTCGATGTGTGATGTATTATTTGTATGCAGTCTTTGTATTATACTGATAACAAAGAAATGACAAGAAGGTTTATCTCTGAAACATACACAACAATAATTTGATTGTCATTGTGAAAAGGGTATTATATGGCAATAGGCTCACCCTCTATTACATGGGACTCATAACATAAATAGTGAAAAGTGGGTGTTAGATTGTACAGTCGCATTAAGTCCTAAATGTGCACCTCTGCCTACCCCTTCGGAGATAAAAAGGCGTAATGTTATGTTATGTATGAAAAAGGTATTACCTTATTCTTTTAATTTTGACATTACATTAACTAATATTAATCAAACAAAACGCCCTTCCTCTCTCCTACCACTTTTAAATGTTGCTGTGCCCCACAGGGTCCGTAATAGTTACTCTTGTTTATTCTAACCAACTGTATGTGTACATTGTGCATGCAATAAATACTCTATTACTAGATTACTTGAACCTTTTGTGGATAATAAAGTCCGTAATAACTACTCAATTAAGCAGAACCTTTGGGTGGGACTGTAAAATACTATAACATAACAAC